ACGGGTCTGCAAGCTGGCGGAGCTGCCGGGCCCCTCTTCATGTCTGCCTGTCCCCCTCAACAACTTGTGCGCCCACGGGATGACTTAACCCAGGTGTGAGGGCTGACACCCGCGCCCCCCCGTCTTTGTCAGCCCGCGGGCTCCCAGAGCACCACCTTTGCGCCTCTCTTGGTCTTTTGGGTAACACAATGTGCTGAGAGTTTTTCGAGCTGCTTTGCCTTGCTCAGGAGCAGCGGCGTTACAGGAAGGACCCTGGGTGCCAGTGCCAAGATCGGACCCACGGCTTTGTTAACACTGCAAAAAACAGCGTTTAGCAAGTGCAGCTCAACAGACAGGGGCTGGAACAGGGGACCTCCCCAGCTGCGCGCTGCCAAGGAATGGGAAAGGCTCTTTGGCATCACTCCTAGTAACAAAACGTGTGGGTTTTCCACAGAGAGGGGCTGTGGCCAGGAAAGGGGGTGGAGGGGTGAGGCTTTTCCCTCTGTTCGGGTTGAATTCAGGCAGCAGGGCTGGCAGCTGCAAGAGAGCTTAGCAGCACTGTTCCCTAAAGGCACCCGCTTTCCTGAACAACTATCTCACCCTTGTGAGTAGTATTCCACAACTTCTCCTCCCAACTTTGCCGTAAGGCTACTGTTGTTTCTGGGGGTGCAGAGGGCTGAGGCACAGAGGAGTAAAGTGGCATCCCCAAGGTCCAATAAGTAGAAGAAGAAATTTAATTGAGTCTTCTGCATGCCAGGTTGAACACTAAAAAGTGCTGGGTTTCCACTCTCCCAGCCTCAACAGGCAGAAAAGTGAAAGTAAGCTTTGTCACTGCAGACACAGGGAGTCCAGGCAGATACACACCAGCTACAGAGGAATAGAAGCAAGAGTGAAAAAGCTGCTGTGGCAGATCATTCATTACCAATGTTTGTAGGCTGGTAATTTTGCACAGACGTGACCATTTCCACCCCAAAAGGTGGTTACATCCCCAAATCCTTCTATCCAGGACAAAGCAGGGTTAGGCTCGCTGCCATGAAAAACATGTTGCGCCTCTACACTCAGCCAGAAGACAATTCCCTGTCCAGAATTTTCAAGCTGAAAAAGAATAATCTGTTCCTGCTTAGTTTAAAAACAGAAACTTGTTGCTGAAATCAGTTTCTGTGGCTTTAACTGTCCACAGAGACAGCCCCTGAATGTAATTGTGTTAGGCTGGAAAACAGTCTCCATTTCACCAATAAATTCTCAGTAAATGAATCAGGGCAGCTGCAGTAGCGAAACACAAAGTGAGGAGATGGGCACCTGCCTTTCTATCTAGCCCTTTCAGTGACTTGTTGGAGACACTTGCCAGAGGGTTGCAAGAGCTAAGAGTGGCGTTGGAAGCTTTCCAGAAGCAGCTGCTGGAGGTAACAGGAGAAGTGGCTAATGAGGATGTTCAGTGTCCGTCCCTGCATTACAACTATAGTGTTATCCATGTGGTGTGTAGAGGGTGAAACACAATCTTCCTCACTTCTTAATGGACAAGGCACCCTGCAGAGGATGTGTCCTGGCACTTACAAATGATCCGTGGTACCTGGAAACAAGTTGCTTCTCATCTGCTCGGCTCTGGGACAGCTACGCACTCACTTTCTACACACTGCTGTCTCTCATGTT